ACAGTTTGTTTTTGTTTGTTTTTTTTTTCGACATATGGTGAGACTCATTAAACGTGACCGAGTAAGATAAGAAACCCGTGATATGACGTTTGAAACACACTTCCATGACAACCACCTTGTTAAACCTTTGTTTAACGAATTCTCAAAACTTTGTTATTATTTCACTTTGTTCAATTTGTCAAATGTTGGCGAATTTTTCTGAAGCTGAATTTTAAAGGACGGTTGTTTTGCTAAGTTGTTAAGCTTGTTAAGACGTGACATTTGTATTTTTATAACTCCGAGGAGTGCAACAACCTTTGGAATAAATACGTTACTTTGTTACAGAAGTTAGTTTTCTAGTTTACATTAAAAAAAGTTATTTTATACTGACTCGCATGGCTGGCATGAGACTCACATGTTGACACGCTGGCTCGCATATCATACACACATAAACACTCGATTGGCCGCCCTGGGGGCAACCTTTTATCTGTTATTTTATGCGGGAAACCTGTTATTTTGTGCGAGTATTAAAACGAAGAGACTAAGCTTAAGGAAACCGTCGAAGACTATTTTATTACTTGAACAAATCAAATTATATAGCAGAAATACGAGGCATAAGAGAGGGTAGCAAAGGGAAATCATCACACTTCTTAGAAGATAAATCACGTTTGACATGCATAACTGATTGCACGGATGACGTTGCATTCCCCCAGATAAAACCTGTGCTACCATTATAAGAGTGATTTTGAGCCCCGAATTCTTCAAACTGTGAACGTGCTATGCCAAAACTGTTTGGATTTTCTGAATACTTTTAACTTTCATCAAAGTATATCGAATTGACTAATATTTCAACAGCAGGAAAGAAGAGCCACTTTAAAAACAATGAGTATATTGGTTCTGTGCTTGAAACTGTGGCCTAAGCCGGTAAATGCACGTACACGCACTATCGATCAATAGACTATTTGAGTTTCTGAATTCCACCGTAAGTGTGGCGACCAGTGATCAGAAATCGAACGATATCTGGCTGAACCGCTAGGGCAAAAATGATAGAAATGTGTTTTCTTTGTTTATTGTTTTTAAACTGCATAAATTGAAGCGGACCACAGACGTCACACAAGAGACGGCGGCTGGCTGAGCTATTTCGATTCAATACTGGATAGGTTGCTTTTCAGTCACGTTAAAAGCAAATACTTACTTTAAGTTTAAGTAAACCATACGTACCAGTAAC